TTAATTTTGGTGTGCATGTGTTCATTGCTAGTATGTAGAAATACAACTGATTTTTGTATGTTTATCTTGTATCCTATGAACTTGCCAAACTCATTAATTCTAAGAGTTTTGAGTAGATTTTTGAGGTTTTTCTATATAGATAATAAACATGTCGTCAACATATAGGAGCAATTTTATTTCTTCCTTTCCAATCTCTGTGACCTTTCCTTTACTCTTCTTACCTTATTATATGGGCTAGAACTTTCAGCATTTTGTTAAATAAGGGTGGAAGAGCAGTCATAAGGATCATGTCTTATACCTTATTCCCAATCTTAAGAGAAATACCTCTAGTCTTTCACCACTAAGTATACTATTAAGTGTAGATTTTTATAAACGTACTTTATTAAGTTGAGGAAGTTCCTTCTATTCCTAATATGTGAAGAGTTTTATTATGAATAAATCTTGAATATTTCAAATTTTTTCTGCATCAATTAATGTATGAATGTGACTTCTTATTCAGCCTGTTGATGTGGTGGACAATATTGTTTGATTTTCAAATATTGAACTAGCCTTGCATTCCTTATATAAATATCACTTGGTCATGGTGTACAATTCTTTTTGTAAGTTGCTGAATTCTATTTGTTAATATTTTGTTAAGGATTTTTGTATCAATGTCCATGAGGAATATTGGTCTATAGTTTACTTTTCTTATACTGTCCTTGGTTTTGGTATCAATGCAATACTCACTTCATAAATGAATTAGAAAATGTTCCCTCCTCTTGTATCTTCTGGTATAGATTATGCAGAGTTTCATACAATTTTTCTTTAAACCTTTGAAAGAATTCTCCAAAGAAGCCATCTGTGACTCAAGAATTCTTCTGGGAAAGTTTTAAAATTCAGAATTTAATTTCCTTAATACTTACAGAGCAATTCAAATTATGCATTTCATATTGGGTAAATTATGGTAATTCATTTTTTGAGGAATTGGTCTACTTCATTTAATTTGTGAAATTTATATATAGAGAATTGTTTGTAATATCTCTCATCTTTTTTATGTTTGTAAGATCTGTAGTAACATTTCCTATTTCAATCTTGATATTGGTAATTCGTGTCTTTTTCTTATACGTCAGTTTTACTTGAAGTTTGTCCACTTTTTTGATCTTCTCAGAGAGCTAAGTTTTGTTCAGTTAATTTTCTCTATTGTTTTTCTGCTTATAATTTCATTGTTTTGTGATCTCTTTTATTTCCTTCCTAAGCATCTCTTGGGTTCATTGCTCTTCTTTTTCTAAGTTCTTTCTTTTTTAAGATTTTATTTATTTATTCATGAGAGACACACAGAGAGAGAGAGAGAGAGAGAGAGAGAGAAGCAGAGACACAGGCAGAGGGAGAAGCAGGCTCCATGCAGGGAGCCCAATGTGGGACTCGATCCCAGGACTCCAGGATCACACGCTGGGCTGAAGGCAGGCGCCAAACCGCTGAGCCACCCGGGATCCCTTTTTCTAAGTTCTTGATGTAGACCATTAATCTGAGATTTTTCTTATTTTATAATGTGAACATTTAGTGTTACAAATTCTTTCTTAGCACTGTTTTAGCCATGTTCCACAAATTTTGAATATGCTGTATGCATACCAGTTCAATGTGTTTTTTTTTTTAAATTTCCTTTGAGATTTTTCCTTTGAAACATGGATTATTTTCAAGTGTGTAATTTAGTTGCCAAGTGTTTGGAGGTTTTCCTGTTATCTTTTTGTTATTCTATTCTAGTTTAATTATATTATGATAAGAGAACAGACTCTGATTGGTTTCAATTTTTTTACATTTGTTGGGGTTTGTTTTCTGGATTTAATCTTCTTGACATATTCCACAGACACTTGAAGAGAATGTGTATTCTGTTTTTGTTAGGTAGAATATTCTATCTATGTCCATTTGAAATAATGGAGTACAAAGAAATATGTTGAACTATACCGTGAGTATGCAATCAGTAAAATCCAGGCTAGTGAAAGTCTATAGATAAAATGGCCCACATGCTTCAAAGGATAATTTGTAAAGAAAAAAATGGGATAGAGAGGGAATCTGCAGATTAAAGACCTTAAAATACATAACAGGGTAAATAAAAATAATGTGTGATATTATCCATAGGGTCTGGGAATGGACACTATGGGTGATAAAAACCATTAAATACACACACACACACACACACACACACACACACACACACACACACATATACCATGGAAGTGATTACTATAAAAGTCAGGGTAGTGGTTACTTTGGAATAGAGAGGGTTATAATGGGATACACGGAGGGGTTACTGGGATGGCTGGCAACATTTTATACATTAGCTGGTAGTTTTATTTCTTGACTTGGGTGGTAGTTACAAGCAGTGATGTGTTGGTGTTTAACAACTGGCTCTCCAAGGGGAAAAGAAAGTCTGGACTTGTAGCATTTCCTGATTTCCATCATGTAAACACTACCACCATGGCCAATTTTCAAGCTACCAACATGATGTCATTGTATGAGGAGCTGGGAAGAAATTGCACAAACATCTCTGTGGGGACTGTGAACCAGCTCCAGCACAGCACTGGGAGGCTGTGTTCCTTGTAATAACTCACTGAGCTGTACATTTATTTTTTTAACATTTTAAAGCTAAAAAGATAAAAAGATAAATTTAAAACAATAGCACTAGATGCTAGGATGGAACAGGAAATATGCAAAATGAGCCTTGACCATCTTTTAGTGTCAGAAAGAAAGGAAGTGCTCAAAATAGAAATAAAGAACCTGTAATGATAGGGGTATGTCAAAGGGATACAGTAATCAATTTAAAAGGTTCCCAATGGTCAAAGCTGGAATGATTTGAGCAACAAGATAAAGTAGTATTGGATAATAACCCAAAGTGTAAAGTAAATATCCATGACTGCATACTGATATAAATAAATGATTGAATATGGGGGAGAACAGATACATCTGTTGTGCAGAAGAATCCAAATAATTTATGTATATATGCAACCACATAATTCCTGCCTCTTAAGGAAAGGCTGCACATAGTAACTTCTTTCCAATGAGTACAGTACGGAAAAGGAGGGGCACTTAAAATAGTGACTTCGCAGTAGAGAAACATAAACACTACCTCAGCTATGTGAACAAGGTCAACATCAACAGAGATAAGTCATGTTGATATTTTACATCTTTGGTATGATATGATGAAAATGGCACTTTACTTCGTAGTCTTCCTTCCAAAAATCCATAACCCCAGTCTAATCATGAAGAAAACATAAGACAAATCCCAAATGGGGGATATGTTACACAACACTCTTTAAAACTGTCAGGATCAGGGGATCCCTGGGTAGCTCAGTGGTTTAGCACCTGCCTTCCACCCAGGACATGATCCTGGAGTCCCGGGATCCAGTCCTATGTCAGGCTCCCTGCATGGAGCCTGCTTCTCCCTCTGCCTGTGTCTCTGCCTCTCTCTCTCTGTGTCTCTCATGAATAAATGAAAAAAATCTTCAAAAAAAAAAAAAAAAAAAAAACAACTGTCAGGGTCATCAAATACAAGGAAAGTCTAAGAAACTGCCCTAGGCAAGAGGAGCCTAAGTAGACATGATAAGTAAATGTAATGTATCCTAGATGGGATCCTAGAACAGAAAACAGACATCAGATAAAAAAACAAATAGGGTCATCTGAATAAAGTATGGACTATTGTTAATAATGTACCCATACTTGTCATTAAATGTGTATGCTGTTAGTAATAGGGGAAACCAAGTGTGGATTATATGGGAACTCTCTGTACTATTTTACAATTTTTCTATAAATGTAAAACTGTTCTAAAATTAAAAGTCTAAAGTTAAGTAGAATTTTAAGCTCTCTGTATACTCTGCATCTCTTCCTTATGAAAACCACATATTCAGGCTAACTCATGTCTCCTAAAACTTGTGACTCCAAGCCTCAAATGGGTACTCCGTGATGTCTGGCAGTCTTACTATCTTGTCCTGAACAAATTTCTCTGCCTTTCTCCAAGCCACATTTCCTCACTGCTCACATCTCTTCCATACTGCTCCCCAGCCCAGTCCCAGCTAGTGGTCCTGCTTCGTGTTTTACCAAGAAAATAGGAACAAACAGAAGAGAATTTCCACATGTTTTGACCACTGAATCTAACCATCTACCTCATCTGCACTCTGCCTTCCCTCCTGTTAAAATAAATGAACTGTCCATACACCTAAGACCAGTTACTCCATTTCTGCACTGGATCCCATCTACCCGCCCCCCAACACACACACTTCATTAAAGTAAAATCATTCTTGTCCCCCTTTGTATAGGATCGTTACCACCAACAATGTGTCGTGTAAATGTGGTGCACTATCTTGATCCCATATTTCCCTCCTGCCTACCCCCTACTTTTCTATTCTTTACAGCAAAGGGCTCTAAAGGAATTATCTATATTCACCATCACTAGTGTTTTAAAATATAGCACATTAATAGGAAATTTGAGGTATGGTAAGGCCAACAGATCAGAAAATGACTACCATTGAAAAGATAGTTTGTTACTCATAGTTCCTAAAGGCAGATGAATGTTACGCCATCAGGGGCCCCTGGGGAAGCACTGGGAGGTAAGGAGGCAGAGAGAGAGGGAGCCACTATGGACCAGAGCCTTATTGTGGCTTCCTCAGGAAGGAACAGGGCAGGCAGGATAAGCAGGCTTAGGATTGCTCCAGTGGGCTCTGGGGCTCAAAGTATCCCTGGTTGTCTGGTACTTGGCCCTGGGTGATCTGGAGAGAGGATAATGGCCCAGAATGTGAGAGGTGGGGATATGGGCTCTGGACCAGTTGGCTTATACTTGAAAAGTATGCTCAGGAGCGCATTGTTTAGTATCTCTAGGAACCGGTAACCCTGAGCAGACCATCCAAGATCAGTAAGGTCCCAGATGCCAAGCAACAGCATGTAAAAAACACAGTCAGGCTTTCTTCCTACTACTATTGGCTTCTACATTCTGGTAATAACACCTTAATCCTCCTGGATGTTTTTCTTACCTCAATGGCCACTCCTCACTTTCCTCTGGTGGATCTTCCTCCTCAGCCCAACCTTCAATCTTCATAAATAGCCCCAAAGTTTAATGCTCTTCTCATTTCTGTCTTCACCAGTCCTCATAAGGCATGCTACATGGACCCCTGTGGTCTCTGAGAGGTCCCCCCTCAGGAACTCCATGAAATGAGAACTGAATTTCCTGTTTCACTCAGTTGGTATTTGTGCCTATGATGCAAAAGGAAAGGCGGGCAAAAGTGCTGGTACCTTAGCATGAGTCAAGGCAATAGTGCCAAACCTGCTAGTAGGTATTCTTTCTTCATTGCCTAACACTCACAATAAAAACAACAAAAGAGGCAGTTTCACTTACAAATATCTCCAATATGGTACTAAAAAGTTTCACTTATATGAAATCTCAATATGTTAATAATCTGTGTGATTAAATAGGAAACTTTGCTTCCTTTTACTTATTTATTTTTTAGAATTACTACCTTTTATTTATTTTTTTAAATATTTTATTTATTTATTCATGAGAGACCCAGAGAGAGAGGGAGGGAGGCTGAGACATAGCCAGAGAGAGAAGCAGGCTCCATGCAGGGAGCCCGATGTGGGACTCGATCCCGGGACTCCAGAGTCATGCCCTCAGCTGAAGGCAGATGCTTAATCCCTGAGCCACCCAGGCATCTTGAATTACTACCTTTTAATAGCCTAATTATCTATACCTGTGTCTATATCTATATATTCATCATTACCCAGTCATTCATTGATGGATACTTAAGAAAGTAATCCTGTCTGCCATTTTAGACATCATTGGATGGACCTTGTGAGCATTCTGCTAATGAAATACATCAGGCAAAGAAAGATACATATTGTATGATCTCACTTATTTGTGGAATCCAAAGGGAAAAAAAACTCATAGAAAAAGAGACCAGATCTGTGGTTCCCGGAGGCAGGAGGTACAGGATAGGGAAGGGAGAATTGGAGGAAGGTGGTCAAGTATACTTCCAAGTATAAGGTAAAAAATAAGTATGAGGGTTGTAATATACAACATGCTGACTAGAGCTATGCCACTGCTGGGTGGTATGTGAAAGTCATTAGAAAAAATCTTAAGAGTTCTCACCACAAGGAAAAAAATATTTTTTCTTTTTCTTTTTTTGGGGGGGATCTATATGAGATGATGGATGTTAACTAAACTTATTTTGGTAATCATTTCACAATATATGTAAGTTGAATCATTACACTGTACACCTTACACTTATATAGTGCTGTATGCCAATTATGTCTCAATAAAATGGTGGGGGCAGTACATACTGGAAAAAGGAAAGTGAGCTTAAATAGATTGTAACACATCAATATAATGGGTAATATATAGATAAAAACCAATCGGTAGATCTCTGTGCACTGACATGGAAATTCCTCCAAGATATAATGTAAGTAGAAAGTAACATTCAGAACAAGATGCATATTGTACCACCTTTCGTGTAAAAATAGAGAAAAATAATAAAAAATAATAATAATGAGGCTCTGTATCAGTGTCCACTTGGATATGCATCAACTCTTAAAAGATACATAGAATCTAGTAACAATGGTTTCCATGGTGAGGACAGAGACGCAAGCAGGAAGAGGCAGACTTTTCCGTGTCTATCATTTTATACTTACAGAAATATTACCTATTGGAAAATTAAATAAATACACCTTTTACATTGTGGAGGGTGCAGAATATAAAAGATAGATTCTGAGCCCAAAAAGTTTGAGAACCTCTGATCTCACACAAATCCCCGGTGAACCCGGGGATGGTTCCAGAACCAGTTTGCCATAATCTCACGTAACAAAAGTGAAAGAATTCTATTCACATTATGATGAGAAAACTCTTACCCTTTAGGGTGATGTCCTTAAGGAAAGCACAGTGGACTAGGTACATATCCTCATCAATAACCACAACAAAATAGCAAAATACCGACCAGGCGGTTACAAGGGACCACTATTATAACAACCTTTGCAAGCCCTAAACCCCTCAATGAATATAAACAGGCATTATGTTTCAGCTCTTCCTCTTGAATCCAGGTCCTTCCTTCTCCTCCTATCCTCCCAGCAACTTTTCCTTTTTTGCCCCATCTGGCACAAACTAGTCTAGAAATCCCTGGCCCTGGGCTGCCTGGGTGGCTCAGTCAGTTAAACCTCGGACTCTCAGACTGTTGATTTTGGCTCAGGTCATGATCTTCAGGGTCCTGGGATCCAGCCCCACTGGGCTCTGTGCTGAGCCGGGAGTCTGGGCTTCTCTCTCTCTCCCTCTCCCTCTGCCCCCCCACACCCGCTCTCTTTTTCTCTCTCTCAAGTAAATACATAAATCCTTTTTAAAAAAGAATAGGACAGAACTCCCCAGCCCTAACTTTGGCGTGGCACAGGACAGGAAAGTACCCGGTCAGCTGGGGTCAGGGAATGCCAGTTGTGTCCAAAACTGTGAACCACCACCTGGTCTTTTGGCTGGTGGAGCCTCCCTGACCGTCTTACCCAAGTCACATCACCTTCCTGAGCATTCCCAGGGCATTGCTTGCACTTCGTTCTCGGCCTTCTGCATGTCCCATCTGCTGGTGTGCTTAGTGGACGGGAAGCCTGCCTCTGTGATCACGGTCCACATCTTTCCTTCAGCCCCACTCTTTTCCAGCTGGACCTAAAACCACAAAGTTCTAAAATGATCCTGAACCTCTGGGAGTGCCTTATGGGCCAGCAGCCCTGGGCAAGGGGCAGGGGGGGCTCCTCTAATTCGAAGGTCAGTGTTACTAGAATGCCCTCCCAGTTGGCTCCCTTCCTCCAGGCTTGCTTGGATCCAATTCATTTTCCAGTAACTACCAAAAGAAACTTAGTAAAAATGCAAATTTCATCATGTCCCTGAGGCCACAGGGTGGAACAGAGGTAGCCACCAGGAGGGTGTTCTGCTGTGCAGCCTTCACGCCATGATTTGGAGTGAATTTCTGAGTGGTTTAAAAATTGGGGAGTGATCCTTTTTAGACCTCTTATGATTGCTATTAAATCATAAATTTCCTGCAATTAGCAGAATGAAAGGACCAGTCAGTGATGGCGGCATTTTTCAAGTCAGTAGAGTAGTCCTAACACCTGTGCATTCGATAGATGTCTGACAGACTAGCTGGTGGTCTAGGGAACTCTGAGTGCCTACTCCACCCACCTCCAGGGATCAAGCCAAACCAACAATTCTAGATAATGAATAGCCCCAATTACTTTCCCATTAACTGCTGGAATTTGGCAGGTGCCCCAGAAATATCTTGAGATATTCAGTCAAAATTTAAAACCACAGAGGATACATGAAGGCGACTCCAGCTCTGGCCTCTCTAGCCCTGCGTATATGTTAGTATCCACTTATCCAGTACTGAGAACTAATGAATAGGTACAATGGATTAATCTATCTTAGGTTCCTATTCTGAGCCCAAGGGTCTACATATATTTATCATTCTCCTGATTTCTTCCCCATCACTACAGTACAGGGTGAAGGAGATGGATAAAGGTTTTTAAATTTTACGTTGTATCATTAATTGATCACCTTTTAATAAGATTTCATGAGTCCTAGCTGAATATGCTTTCCTAGACTTTTCAAAAAACCTATAGAAATTCAATTCAAACAACTGTTGAGCAACATGGAGAAAACATGCATCCTATTCATAAGGGAGAAGGCAATGCTCCTGGTTTAAGAGTTTCCTTTACAGTCTCCAGCTACTCCTCAGAACCAGAGATTTTTCTAAAATCATAGCTCTTAGATTTGGACTTCTGCTCAGCCCATAACATCCCATAGGTATTTGCTTTCAGAACAGAAAGAGTCTGGATTGCCAGATATTTGGCACCTGCCTGCTGGCCACATTATTGAACTACCACTATTAAAAGGTTAAGAATTGTTCCAATTGGTGCCAGCACTGTTGAAATGCCTCCCCAGCTGGATAAGCAATTGTGGCAATATCTCCTCACTAATCCCTATTATCCCTTTGGGAGATTCCAATCTAATCACATAATCCAGAAGTTAAGCCATGAGATCCAACACTTCCAATCTTTATATAGTGAGAGGTGCTGAGATACTTCTTATAAAATGAACATCACTTTCTCTCTTTTTTAAAAAGAAATTTTTATTTATTTATTCATGAGAGACACCGAGAGAGGCAGAGACATAGACAGAGGCAGAAGCAGGCTCCCTGTGGGGAGCCTGATGCAAGACTCGATCCCAGGAACCCCAGGATCATGACCTGAGCCAAAGGCAGACCCTCAACCACTGAGCCACCCAGGTGCCCCACCATTCTCTTAAGAACACCTTCTACAGGGGCGCCTGGGTGGCTCAGTCAATTAAATGTCCAACTCTTGATTTTGGCTCAGGTCATGATCTCACGGTTATGAGATCAAGCCCTGCGTTAGACTCCATGCTGGACATGGAAGCTTATTAAGATTCTCTCTCTCCCTCTCCTGCTCTCTCGCTTGTGCTCTCTCCCTCTAAAATAAATAAATAAAATATTTTTTAAAAATAAAACCTTCTATAATCACTGAGTTTCAAACTTCCTGTTTTCCCAGCCATCTCCTTCAAGAGCCCCAGCAGACATTGTGAGTGGACACTGGCCTAAGCAACCTAGCTAATCCTACTATGTCACCACCATGAGAAAACTTGGCTCTTGGACACCTGGGCCATTTCCCCACCTATTCCTTGTGGCTTCAACCTTACAGGTAGGAGTAGAGCCCCACTCAGCAGAATCCCGTAAGAACTCAGGGCAATTAGCTCCTGCTGGGGGCAAGGGCACCGTGGAGAAGTCTCTCCCACTCTATTTCCTAAAGGCCAATAGCTTTGCTGTCATGTTGTTGTGGGGGGAATTCATTACTAGTGCATACACTGTTTTCCATACCTAGGGATAGATACATGATACAGACATAGATAAATACCAATTTTCTCCATAGGGACAGTTAGAATTTGCAGTATCCAAATCAGGAGTTCATATTTTAGAGTTAGAGAACTAGCATGTCAAAATTATGGTGGAAATATATATCAAAAGGTTAAAGAAACATAAGAAATCATTGGTGAAATGGATGTCTTCAAGACATTGCCTAATTATAGATTTTATGGACTCTATGATGCTTTGAATGAATGAACAGAATTCAGATAACACAGAAGCCAAAGCAGGGCTGAAGAATCCCTCCACTTCCAGAAGACTTGATGGAATGACCTGGCTACCAGGGTGGAGGAACAAGTGTCCTCCAAGGAGTGAATCTGCCATGCACGGTGTCCAGGGGACACTGTGAGGGACTTCCCATAGCCTTCTATAGGACTCAAGACTTTTTCCAGATGTCAGGTGCTGCCAACAGAATCCTCCATCATCACCCTCCTTTCAGAATGGCCTCAGTGCAGAAGCACCACCTTGGCTACTGTCAGAAGCCCCTTCCACGGGGCAGTCCACATTCAATAACTGGTCAGTGTATGTGTACAAATTCCTCACCCCCTTGCCCTCATTTGGGACACCTCTGTATGACCATCCTAGTTCTGGAGCAATCACAGGACTTCCCTCATAGCTCCTACTGTGTATCTCTGCACAGCCCCACTTCCATTGATCCCAAGAACAGTCCATAACAAACACCTTGCACAAAAATCTCCATGTCACAGTTTTTTTCCCAGGGAATCCAACCTGCTACAGTTGAGTCAGTAGTGGTCTACTGGCACTGAACCCCTCCTACTTGCTGATAGTTAGGGCTCTTGGTATGAGATAGATGGGTTCTGATACAAAGTAGCAAAGCAACCATTGTAACTATAGCTGTGGTGAACTGAGATGGGATAGGTCTAGTTTATCTTTCTAGTCATCCTGTCAAAAATATGGAGTAAACAGTAGGTATAGAAATAGTAGAATCAGGTGGAAATTTGCTAAATGCAGTAGACTCTGTGACAAAAGCTGAATAAAGTTTGGGAGTGATTAATCAGCAAATTAAGTGTGAAAGCCAGAGGGCTTTCTTGGTGGCATAAAAAAAAGACACCTCCTAGAGCTAGAAGAGTATCAAATATATTTATTTGAAAATACCTTTTTTTTTTCACACTATGCCTTGCCTTCTTTTCTTTTTTAAAAGATTTTATTTATTTATTTAAGAGAGAACACATGAACAGGAGGGGTAGAGGGAGAGAGAGAAGCCGGCTCCCCACTGAGAAGGGAGCCTGATGCAAGGCTTGATCCCAGGAGCCTGGGATCATGATCTGAGATGAAGGCAGATGCTTAACTGACCAAGCCACCCAGCTGCCCCTTCCTTCTTAACGGTATCCTTTGAATTGATTCATAATTTCCACATCCCATTTAAAAAATCTTTGCTTAGGGATCCCTGGGTGGCGCAGCGGTTTGGCGCCTGCCTTTGGCCCAGGGCGCGATCCTGGAGACCCGGGATCGAATCCCACGTCGGGCTCCCGGTGCATGGAGCCTGCTTCTCCCTCTGCCTGTGTCTCTACCTCTCTCTCTCTGTGTGTGACTATCATAAATAAATAAAAATTTAAAAAAAAAAAAATCTTTGCTTAGTCAAAGATTGTGATTTTTTTCTGTTGTTTTGTTCTGATTTACAATCTTCTCTTTATTATTTCTTGCTATTTCTAGGTCAAGATAAAAGGGTAAATCAGTAATTTTAGACCTTTCTTTTTTCTAACATAAACATTTTAAAACAGTAATGTTTCCTCTAAACACTGCATTAGCTGCAAATAAGAAAAAAGTGATATATTGAGATTTCATTTTATGCCATTCATTATTCTGGATGTTCGTGTGAGGTGTTTTTTGAATGAGGCTAACATTTAAGTTGATGGACTTTGAATAAAGCAGATTACTCTCCATAATGTGGGTGGGCTTCATAAAATCAGTTGAAGTCTTTAACAGAACAAAGACTGACCTCTTGCAAGCAAGAAGGATTCTTCCAACACATTCCCTTTGGATTAGAATTGCAAATCTTACCTGAGTCTTCAACCAGCCAACCTACTCTGCAGATTTGGGACTTGCTAACGCCTGTATAATTGCATGAACAAGTTTCTTAAAATAAATCTCTAGATAGATAGACAGACAGACAAGCAGACATCCTATTTGTTCTGTTTCTCTGGAGAACCATTGTTCAGTTCTTCTGTATTCCTGATCATTTTTTATCTACTTGTATTACCAATCACTGAGAAAAGAGTGTTGATCTCTTCAATTATGGGTACTCCTTTCAGTTTTGTCTTTTTTGCTTTATTAATTTTGAAGCTCTATCATTTCCATTTAGGACTATCATGTTCTCTTCATTCCTTTATCATTTTGAAGTGTAGTTGGTAATTCCTGTTAATAATTCCTTCATCTAAAGTCAACTTTTTCCTATTCTTAATATAGGCATGCTGGTATTCATTAGCCCTTCCACCATATTTCATTTTCCATTTTTTCACTTTTATATTATATGTATCTTGACAGTTAAATTAGGTTTCTTATAGATAACACAGAGTTTGGCCTTAGTACTTTATCCAGTCTGACAATCTGTGCCTTTTAATTGGACCATTTGCTTTTAATGTAATCATTGATAGAATTAAGCTTAATTT